ACTACTGGCGCCAGTTCCGACGCATCGCCACCCTCCACCTCCTCACCGCCAAGCGCGTCCAGGCCCTCCGCCGCGTCAGGGAGTCCGAGGTGCTAGCCCTCATGCGCACCATCGCCGCCACGACGACGAGCGTGCAGCAAGATCCTAATCCACGTAGCGAGAACTTGAAACTAGGAGATGGAAGGCCGGCGGCGAGGATGATTGAACGTTTTTGTCTTTCATCGCCGTTAATCCAAATTCTCCGCCAGAGGCGACGGACGACTGGATCAGGGAAGTTCATACGTTTTATGTTATTTTTATTAGTTTGCCATCATTAATTTTGTTCTGTGGGTTATAGGTCCGGTAAAATTATTTAATTTTTTTTATTAATTGCTTATGTTTATTAGTCCTTCACCTTTCCTGTTTCCTCTACTTTTCCGTTTTGTTTTTCATGATGATGATTATTATTTTACTCTATCTCTTGCGGTTACAACTTACAGGTAAGTATTCCAATCGTTTCCTTTCGGTTACTACTCATAATAATTTTTAATTATTGTCTTTGTGTTTATTTAGCACTAGTTCTCTTCCTTTTATTATTTTTATCTATTCGCTTTTTCGTTTAGGTCTCTTTATCATTTATCATTACTATTATTTATTATTACCATTATTCAGATAAGTTCTCCATCCTTTACTAATTATTACTATTATTTATTTTTTTTATTTTCGTTGCTAATTATCCATCTTTTTTTTTTCTTTCCAAAGCTTTTCATTCCTATTCTCTATAACTATGACTTATTTTTCAAAAATTGTCTTCTAAAAAAGAAAAAGTTTGTCTCATCTTTATGAGTAGGACGAGAAGTTTGTTTCGTGCTTACTGGACGATAATGGCCTACGGCATTGTGTTCTGCCGGTGATGGCCCTCTCCGTTGTGGAGCATATCAATATGGTGGAGTTTATCGTGAGGATGATCAAACGGCAGCCCCAAGATCCTTTTGGATTGCCTATTAGTTTTCTTGTTTTGCAGGTCACTTCTGGCTGCTGATGATGCTTTATGGCTTTCTCAAAGAAAAGGTTGCGGTTTCGGTAGCTTCTCATAGGGCTGCTCATCTTGTGGCAAACCATACCCTTTCATCGGCAGACTCCTTGGCCATAATCAATGTATGGTTTGATGGTGCGGTCAAGCGTGGTCAAGGAGGTAGTATCGACTTTGTAGGCTCTCTTGAGATAGGTAATGTTCTGTTTTCCTTTGGAGAATATTATGATGGGATCCAGGATCCATTTATAATGGAATGTTTAGCTTTATGTGATGCCTTAGAGTGGTGTCTAACTCATTCCTTTCTTGTGTTAATTTTCATGGGGACTCTCAACTCTTGATTTGGCGGATGGTTGGAGGTGATTTGCATCATGATCGAGATGGAGCTATTTTGGAGGATGCTAGGAGCTTAGCTTCGAGTTTCTTAGTGTTTTGTTTCTCGGCAACTCATTAGGGCTGCCCATCATGTGGCATAAAAGGCCCTCTCATCGAGAGTTCGACTATTGGTCGACTCTCGCGCTTTTCTTTTTTCCTCTCTGTGACTTTCGTTTCAACTACTGAATTTGAAAAAAAAAAACACTGATTTTTATGAGAGAGTACTCATTGTTTTTTATTTTTAATTGTTGTATTTTGAGTTTAATAATTAATTTAATTTTTCCTATCTTATAAGTGGAGAATAATCTTAATTCTCAATTCAAATATTATTGATTAGAATATTATATATCAAATTACAATATTAAATATGTGAAAGAGATGCAGAATTATTAATTTAAATAAACTGTTAGAACTATCATGAAACAACGATTTTTTGTGTACGTTATAAGTAACCAGTTTGTTTAAAGTATTTTTAGTCCGGTTAATAGCTAAACCTCAAATGTCTTGCTAATTTGGCATGATTGTACTCGACAATCATGAAACGAGATTGAGTTTGATGTACTATTTCATTTCACCATTTTTTGATGAGTTAGTAAATTTGTAGGGCCAAGACAAGCGACCGAGTAAAAATGACTTGATTATGCATTCAATTCTCATATGTATATATAAAATAATTTAAAGTTTGATGTAATTTTTTTATTACCCAGGAATCTAACCTCACGTGCCACTTTGTGCCAGCGGGTCCTACTAAATTTGGGGTCACCTGGATTCAATTCGACGCCAATGGGGCTTCACCCCCAGCAGCCTTATACCTCCGGGAACACCAACGGGCCTCGCACGAATTCGAACTTGGGATCTGCAAGACTGCAACTCCCAAGTCTTCACTGTCGCGGCATTTTTTACCGTTAGGCTATCTTACCTTTGATAAAGTTTGATGTAACTTGATACTCACTTGGTTCGTTGAATGAGTGTTTTATCATATATAATAATTAATTTGTAATATTTTGTAATATTTTATATCTTTTATGTATAGTTTAGAAGTATATTTTTCTTAGCATTAGTGGTAGTTGGTTGAAATATATTATTTCATCATGTAGTCAAAATCGAGTACCGAGTGCATTTATTGAGTGTCTTTTAGTTGGTGTTAGGAACGCATGTAAATTTATTCATGCAAATGGGTATAACTATTCAATTTAATTTTTTATTCCTATTAAAATATTTTCATATTCTCTAACATAAAGTAATAAGACTCATTGACATCAAATGTAACATCAAAATCCATGATAAAAAACACATTTAAAAAATTATTCGTAAGATTTTTTTTTGTGAACTTATATATATCTTTGAAAGTTACATTGTTGTTAATTGTGAATGAACTTTTTATCAAAATTTGGGTATGGATGTGTTAGTTATAATGGTTGCTAATTTGGGACGTGAATTTGATTGGACACATTTAGGTAAGTGTGATACCAAGTAAATATGATGGTGACTATATTATTTTAGTGGCCACATGAGTTCATACAAATGATCCTAACATATGACTCCATTATATGACAACTAAATAGTTAAATGTGAAAGAGTTGTTTATTTAAATATAAGTGAGAATCAGGCATGGATTTATTAGCCATATTAGGAGAAATTGAGTTTGTTTAATTTTGTGGCGAGAGTTAGCATTGACAAATTCTTCTTTATACCCATGTTTCATATGATCATTTATTGGAACTTTTTGAAGGCGTCATTTCCTCTCCCTTCGGTAGATTATATTGCAACAACCAGATTTTCAACAAGTTGCTCGCAAATGCAACTGGGTTCAATTTTGAAGCGACTCCCAATTCTGCTTGCAATATTTGTATCTTTGTACAATCTAGAATTCATCATCGGCCAGCTCTCTTTGCATTTGACATTTTTGTTGCCGCCATCCTCAAGTGCTAACAACACTGCTCTAACCCTGAATTATTCTTTGCCAACTTTAATAGTTCCAGTGGTACATGTGCTTAGAGTTCTACCGTAATTGAATAGTTTTAGAAAACAAAGTTGTCCATAATTGCACTATGTACTTAACCCTTAAGTTGATGTTGTTCAATGTATATAGTTAAACATAATTAATTAGTTATTTGTCCACTACCATCTCAAATATGCATGCTCAACATATACTAGAGCAATTATTGTAAACGTTAAGGAACAATTCTATGACAATGATTTGTAAACATTTGTTCGAATAAAGAGATAATTTATTTCACTCATTCCTATTGAAAATAGTAACAAATTAAAAATTTATTTGTCAATGTTCCTATATGATATGTCAATATATAATTCGTGCCATACTCAACAAAGGAGAAAGAAATAGAAAAATATTTTGTGGATAAATTTTTTTAAATAAAACTTCCTCAAAGTACAATAATTTTATTTTATGGTAAAGATTGATTATGTATGTATCGTAAGAAACAACTCTCATATTGTCATTTATGAACTGTTTATATAGGCAACACTTTTATAAATACATATATCACTATTAGCTACGTTTCTTTGTTAGTCATTTTGACTTACTCATATTTTCAATACGTTATAAGCATAAATGATCAAATACCACACAAAACATAACTCATTGGGGTAAATGACAAATACAAATTATATACATATTGAACTCTCCCGGCCAACAGGCCGGGCCTTGCGCTAATCTATATAAAGCATATTCATGGGTTGGATTTTCTCCATTTCAAATTTTGAGCAACCAGAGTGAAAGTAGGAAGGGTATTTTTGTCTTCACAATTAGTTATTTATTTTGTATAAAAATATATCAAGCACCAAGATTTGAACCATGGTCTTTTTAAACAAAGACAAGAAACATAACTAATTACACTAAACAAATACGTTGTATGCTTTTTATTATATAACATACACGAAGTTAAAATCTGTAAAACATATGACTTTTGCATAACGATAAACTAGCTTATTTTATTGTTATGCTCTTAGAGAGACGTAAACTCTCCCAACCTCTATACTTGGATAAGAGGAAACAAAGAAGAAAAAATCTCGCAACCATAACTCTGTTACCAACTCTGTCGTTCTTGGGAGCTCTCCATGGAGCCTTCAGCACTTTTCCTGCCAGGCAAAGCTAATCAAGAAGCTCCATAGAAGTCCAATAAGTCTCCCTTGAGCCGTGTTTCGCTTTGCAACCACACTTGCATATGAGAGTTGGAGATCCCAAAAGATGTTACTAAAAAAATTATCAAACTCTATTAACAATGATAGACTTAAATTAACATAAAAATTAAATGAATTGATAGACTTGAAGTAACATAAAAATATAAATATTCCGGCTAACGGGCCGCATTATAAGTTAGTTTTTTAAAATGTTAGTAATCATCAACCTCTATAGTTTTTGTGTTTGGACGAGTTATGTAATTATGTTATTGTTATGTACTTATGTATCATTCAAGCACCTGCACTTTCGCTCAACTGACAAACAAGTCCTCGGTCGTGGAGCTCTTACATTTCAGAAGCCAATGCACATTTAGGGTTCGATTTCTCGAGTCTGATTCAGTTCCCTCATTCCTTCCTTCGTTCTCCCGTGAATTGAGCAGTCGAAATCCGTCAAATCGGCCACCAATAAATGGCGGCGGAGGGTAGGGAGAGCGAGAGCCACTACAACAGCGGCGCCAACCGCGACGGCGACCTTCCCGTCGGGAAACAGCATGATTCGGTTCCCTCGCCATCCTCAAATCCCCACCAGTCGTCGTCTTCTGCGATTAACCACCCAATCCAGCGGCAGGCTTTTCCTTCGTACTCCAATGTCCCGAATCTCCCCTCGAAACTCAAGCTCCTCTGCGGGATCATCGCCACAACCCCGTCGCCTTCCATAGAGAAAGTCCTCGACGGCTCCGGCATCGGCGTCACCCAGGCCGAGGTTGAGCAAGTTCTCAAGCTCTCCTACTCTTTCCCGGCCCCGACCGTCAAGTTCTTCAGGTGGAGCGGGTTGCGGCTCGACGGCGATCACTCCCCTTACGCCTGGAACCTCGTGGTCGACCTTCTGGGTAAGAATTGCTTGTTCGACGCAATGTGGGATGCTATCAAGTCCATGAGACGGAAAGGGTTGGTCTCTTTAGCCACATTTGCTTCAATTTTTGGTAGTTATGTGATTGCCGGTAGAGTGAAGGAGGCCATTATGAGTTTCGAGGTCATGGATCAATACGGCTGCGAGCGTGATGTTGTCGCTTTGAATTCCTTGTTGAGTGCTATCTGTAGAGATGGAAACGCTCTCGAAGCCTTTGAATTCTTGCGTGTAGCTCAGCAGCATATAATGCCTGATGCTGATTCCTATGCCATTCTATTAGAAGGGTGGGAGAAGGAGATGAATGTGGTTCGCTCCAGAGATACATTTGCTGAGATGATCGATCGAATTGGCTGGGATCCTGAAAACGTACCTGCTTATGATACTTTTCTCTGCACTTTGTTTATGGGTGCTGAAGGAATGATGGAGGTTTTGAAATGTTTGGACGTAATGAAGGATAAGGGATGCCATCCAGGTCACAAGTTCCTTTCGTTTGCCCTTGAAGTTTGCCGTAAACATAATGATGTTAAAGCGGCTGATCTGATCTGGGAGATAGTGGTGTGTGGTTTCCGGATTAGGCCTGATGCACGGCTTTACAATATGATGATTGTTTTATACTGCAGTTCCAAGAAAACTGACAGGGCAATGGGAATATTAGACGAGATGGTCTGTAGAGGGGTGCTTCCTGATGTTCACACATATAATTTGTTGTTCCAGTTCTTGATTGAGAGTAGACGACTGAAAGAGGCATCGGCATTGCTGAACGAGTTGATTAGAAACGAGTGCATCCCTAACCAGACGAATTGCAGTGAAGCAGTTATGGTGTATTTGGAATCGCAGGATGCATATATGGCTGTGCTGGTTTGGAAATTGATGGTGGAAACTTACAAGTCGGATTTGGAGGAGACTGGGAACTGCTTGATCGTGGGGCTGATAAACCTTCGACTGGTCCCGGAAGCAGTCGTGTATGCAGAGAGTATGATTGAGAAAGGAATAAAGTTGACTTCATCGACGATTTCGATGCTGAAGCAGAGCCTTACTCAGGAGAGGAAAGAGATGGTGTATGAAAACCTCCTGAGGAAGTGGACTAACTCCTTAGGCAGGATTGAAACAATGTAGTGGAAAAAACACTGGTAGAAACAGGAAATGTGTTTACCTTTTTTTATTTATCCTTGGTGGGGCGACTTTGTATGTTAATTGTACATTCCTTTGTTTAAGGGTTTGAAACTTTGAATAGAACAAGCTGTGTTATGATCCCTCTCCTTTGTTGAGGACTGATTATCTCACTATGGATTCGAGGATCGACATTGACTACTTTGTTCACTATTAAGTGTTGTCCGCTGTATGCCTGTATGGTACTTCTATTGTATGCCATGGGTTTGTTAACAGCTAAGTTTTTCGTTACCAATGTGTTCAAATATGCTTAGAAGTCAGAATGTGATTGTGACTTTTAGCATCTTTCTAGTTGTTTGATATTAACTTTTATCTTTTATTCAAACAATCAGCTGGAATAGCTCAGTTGGCTAGAGCGTGTGGCTGTTAACCACAAGGTCGGAGGTTCAAGCCCTCCTTCTAGCGAATCTTTTGTCATTTTTCTTACACTTTGTCGTTTTTATCTTCAAAGCTAGATTAGAGCTGATAGGGTGTTAGGCCCTGGGCTCTTGAAGCGAATTGGTGGACTTTTTTTCATACATTTTGCAGTTTGTATCTTCAAAGTAGATTAGAGCTGATAGGGTCTTTGGCCCATTAGTCTATGGGCCCAAAGACTAGAACTATGACATGAAGAGCCAAAAACGTATTGAAAATGTTAAAATCGTGGACGGCAGGATTCGAACCTGCGCGGGCAAAGCCCACATGATTTCTAGTCATGCCCGATAACCACTCCGGCACGTCCACATATTTGCTTTTAATTCATTTAGTTAATTTCTTATAGGACAAAAAGTGAGGGCCGAACTTCAGATCATGAGAAACCAATTAGCTAATAAGTTGTGCAAGCTGATCCCTCGTTTTGGGTTCTCTAAGCCCACTTAATTAAATAGAATAAAACAAGAAGCACATAAAATTCTCAATCGTCTGTCGTTTAATTTTCCACTTAAAAGAATTTTGCAAACAATACTGTAATCAGATCATGTCATGGTTTTTAATCGGTTGTTAATGATTGATACACGAGGGGAAGTTTCAGTAATGAAGGCCTTTAGTTCGTTCAATTAGTACGAAATTTAGATATCTCTCTATGTTCTCTTCTTCGGTAAATTGCAAGTTTGATCATCGAAATTACTAAACAATTTCACGTTTGGCACTAAGATTATTTTATTCCATTCTTAGTCACTTAAATGAGTTACACGGTTGAAGTTTGGTCACTCTCCGTTAGGCTCCGTCAGTCTTCCCCACCCCAGTGAAATAATTCCCCGACACTGTCAAATTCACCAAATTACCCAAACCCCCGAGCTTCCCGCACACCAAATCGGGCACGACCCCGTAAAATCGATTACCGCCCAAATTCAGCTGCTCGACTTCTCCAAACATGTCAACGACCACAGGATCGACCGGTCCGGCAGTTCCCCTCGAAATCAACAACCACAGCTCGGTCAAGCACCCCGACCTCGTACGACAAGCAACCCCTGAATTTGTTGTTGAGGAGGAGAACCTCGGTTCGGGAGGCGAACACTTTGAGATCGAACTCGACATCGGTTGCAAACTGGCTGTCGTTGAGAAACAAAGCCTCGAGGCTTTGTGCGTAGATTTAGGGTGGGATGGCGTCGGTAGGGATGGCAATCAAACCCATTACCGCGGGTACCCGACCGTCCCCGACCCAGTCAACGCGGGGAATCCCCTCTTTGACCGGGTATGGGTAAAACCCGCAAAAAGTTTGATGTGTATGGGGCGGGTATGGGTTTAGCCTCCCCCGCCCCATACCCATACCCATACCCGCCCCGCCAAGAGAATTTCTTCACATATAAAAAAAATATGTGGATCAAATTGTAATTTATCAATGAAGATGAGGATAACTCGAGAAATTAAATAGTAGAAATGCAATTGAGTGACCACCCTATTCAAAACATAATTCATTTCCCTCAATTCTCTTTTCACTCTTTCACTTTCACCCTTGTCAACCAGATTATGTTAGTTAATTATTACTTATTAGATGTACCAAATTTAGAGCATAATATTTGTACTCTATATTATGTATTAATGGATGTTTTCGGATCATATTCTTTGAATCGTATTAAGAAAATGACCGTGTTTTGTTGACTTCGTGATATAATAGGTTCGTTTAGAGTTATAATTAAACATTTTCTTGTAATTTTTAGGTATAATAATATTGGATGTACGGGGACGGGTATTACCCATGGGTACCCGAAACCCACGGGTATGGGGATGAGTTTGCAAAACGTTCCCCGCATGGGTATGGGGCGGGTATGGGTTTGGGTATTCGAAGATGGGGATGAGGATGGTTTAGGCAAACCCGCCCCAAACCCGCCCCATTGCCATCCCTAGGCGTCGGAGAAGGAATTGAACCAGATGTTTAGGAAGGTGAGCCCGGTCATCCAGAGGACGGCGGTCGGAACGGGTCGGTGAGGAGGTTTTGCTGCCTTCGGCAGGGCGGCGAGCCGGCGACGTCTGGTTGAGGGCAACAGTGGCGGCGGGTCTGGTTGTAAAAATGTGTTTTGGGTGAAGGGTTGATGTGGCGGGTTCAGTGACGTGGCGAGTTGAATTTAATTTTTTTGGTTAAATTCAGGCAACTCATTATTTCTGTTAGCCACATCAGCACTTAACGATTATCATTAACGAAGACTAACGCAGCGTCACTAAACTTGAACTGTGTAACTAATTTGAGTGACTACAAATGGAAGAAAATAATCTTAATGACAAACATGAAATTATTTAGTAATTCCAATTACCAAACATAACAATTTATCCCTTCTTCTTCCCTCTCCAAATTCCATCGCATCGGGACGTACTCCAAATTCCAGGGAAAGAGCCTAAAAGACCTTCCATTCTCTGCCTAGGCCACAGCCCCTCTCCCCTACTCCTACTCTGATTACTAATTTCCCCCCAAGCAACATTAATTCACAATTAAACAAAGCATAAATATTTAAACAACAATATGTAATTAGTACAAAGTAAAATAAGTTCAGGATCATGGGAAGTCATCACGTCTCGGCCGTGTTTGCAGTATGCAGTTTAATTTCTTCAAGTTGGGAAAAGAAGACAAAAAAGATGGCATGTGCACGTTAAATCATGGAAGAAAAAGAAAAGGGAACTGAAACAAATCTGATCCAACATCAGTACTCATGTGTTGATTACGGTTAAGAAAACACCATTGATTAAGCTGCTAATTAGCAATAATGTCTGAATCATTGCATGTGGGGGCTTCTGGCTTCTCTATACAATCTATTTGGTGAATCTTAACAAACTAAATTAGTGGTAATAATCACATCAGCACGTTGCATGTGCAAATGTCAGGTCAATGCATCGTTTTTTAAGTACGGGGAGATCATTAATGAACTTAATCAACGGTTCATGCACGCCATTGCAGCCTCCAAATGCACCGGCAGGCGGCAGCGGGTAATGGAATTATTCCATTTGTTGTGGGTAAATTATATAATGCATTAGAATTACTTGCTATGCTATGAAATGGTGTTTCGTCAATAATTCTTTGATTGTTGTTTTTTGTGAAGACTCTCAATTGTTCATTAAGGATGTAACATTCCGGAAGTCTTTTCTGTCACAAACCAGTTGGTCCCCAATAATTCGAGATGTTGGGAGAAGGTTATGTTGAATCTTATACCACTCTCTAACACGCCCCCTCAAACGAAAGCCAATCCATGAGCTTGAAGTTTGCACACGCAATCACCATACTTTGTGCTTTAATCAACTGTTAATATTGGGGGTCTTGGAGATTCAAACACACGACCACTTGGTCAAACCATCTCTGATACCATGTCACAAACCAGTTGGTCCCAATAACTCGAGTTGTTGGGAGACGGTTATGCTGGATCTTATACCACTCTCTAACATTTTCCTTTGTGTCAGTCTCGTGTCATTTTGTTTCTCGGAGTTTCAACAGAACTGTCTACCTCATAGCAAAACAGACTTTTTTATCGGGAGTCCGATTGCGAACGGACTACCACTTTTTTTTATTGTCTTATCTTGTATTGTATTGTCCGACCATACCTAGACTTATATTGGATTAAAAAAATGCACCGGCAGCTAGCCCGACAGCCTAACACCAAGGTTAGATGCTTTTGCCCTAGCTAGCTACCTCCTTAATTACTCCTTCCTTGCCACTCATTATGTGGAGATGCCTAGATTCGTTCGTCCCCAATCCTGTTCTCAAACAAGTTGGAAAGAGTTGAGTTATCCCAGCCTCAGTTTCAGAATTGCAAGCTTATATATGTGCCCTCTTCAATTTCACGTGTCAGAAGTCTCATTGCCCATTTTTTTGTTCTAAGACGATAAAAAATGCAATCCACAATGTAGAAAATTCGATCTTCCACAAAAGAACTTAGCACGTTGAAATTGATGTCCATAAACCTAAACAAATTTTGGGTCAAGGAAGTACTATACAAGCTCAGAGTAATAATACCGTCAAAATTATACATGTTCAGATCCTCATTTTCGATAGTTTGGCTTGATAAAACTCGTTCATCTACTTAATTTACGCTAGATTTTATCATATTTTAGGTCCTAAACACGTGCATGAAGGTTAGAAGCGAGTTTCAGGCCATTTAAAGGTCAAAACGAGCAGATTAGTGGAGGTTGTGTTAAAGTCACAACCATGACCATGAATATTTGTCACAAGTAACAGCCATAGCCGTGACATGAGCAAAAAAAGCAAATCGATTTCCAAAGTTATGGCCGGAGCTCATAAGTCACGACCATGGTCGTCACTTCACACCTAGGTCGTGACTTGCACTTAAATGAGAGATGACTGCATATTTTTGTCAATGTCATGGTTTGAAATTATATCACGCCCGTGACTTGTAACCATGGCTCATGCACTGAAGAGTATAAAGGCTGATTTGCAAATTCTGAAGAGAGGAGAGCTAAGTTTTCAGCCAAAAATGCCCCAAAGTGTGTTCCAAAGAGAAGGAGAGCGATCTAGGAGGGTTCTTGGAGCTAAATTGGAGATACTCATTACCATTGGAGTTAGAATATCAACTTTAGATGTAAATATTAAAGATCTTAAGCCTTATACTGCATTCTCCCCCCCCCCCCCCCCCTCTATGGATTAGTTCTCCTTCATTTATGTTTTGATGCACCCTAGCCTTGTTTAGCTTGATTGAATGATTGTATGAGTAATTTATCTTGATATTCTTGAGTTTAAATCCAATCTATAAATGTTTTGATGTTCAATTATTCCTATTAAGTATTTAACTGATTTTGCTATTGACCTATGATACGAATAGCTAATTAGGTCAATTAGAGCACCATGGATTGGAAGTAGGGGATCGATAACACGAGATAGAGTCGATTCGTTGCTTTGTAGTGTGTGAGGACCTCACTCATTAGAGAGGGTCTAGTGCCGAACGCCTTGATGTGTTGTATTAGAGAAGGGTACGCCCCTCTAAGCAATCGACTCAAGGTGACCTTGATTGCTTGAATAGAGATTCAAGGTCTAGTCCACGACCCTCCGCATTATGAATGAAGAATGAATCAAGTTAGAGAATCGTCAATTAACGGTCCAGTTAGTGGCTAGGGGGATTCATCGCTTAACTGAGTTCCAAACTTGTTATTAGTAGTTTATACTTAGTGTAGTTGTAGTTTAGCTAATTGAATTTAAACCTTGTTTTGCTAGATAACAAACAAAAGCAAAGTAATACTACACCTAGAGACCCGTGGATTCGATATTTTATTACTTACTTCCACTATACTGCACCTGGGCGTTGGTTACGCTTGGCCTTCAATAGGGAGTGTAGTTTAGAGTGAGTCAAGTAATGAACAAGTGCTCACTGTTAGTAAATGGTATAAGAGCTATAACTGAACCTTTTCCAATAACTCCAGTTATCAGGATCAACTGGTTCTTGACATGGTATATATCATAGCCTTCTGGGACCAAGAGGTCTTCTTTTCGAAAATGAGTGACCTCATTGGTAAGCATATGGTGTCTCAAGTTTGTGCAAATTTCAAGCCCCATATGAGTAGGCGTGTTACTAAGTGGTATCAAATTCATAATTGAACCTCTTCCACAAACTTGAATTACTGATATCAACTGTCTTGTATGTTTTATGAGTTTTATGGTATATTTTATGAGTTTTATGGTGTGGTGAGGTTCTGATATGTTTTATATGCTTTTAAGTATGTTTAATGATATTTGTGGTCCCGCAATTACTGCGCAACACTCACCTGTCTCTTTCCTCCAATTTCTAATAATGAAAAGTATGTTCCTCCCTTTATAAGTCGACATTAGTTGTGGTCAACTCATTATAATAAAAAATTATCAAAATAAAATATTCACATTGATTGAACCTCGTATTAACACTATACCAATATATTGAGTGTTAGCACCCAACCCATTATAATAAAAAAATTATCAAAATAAAATATTCATATTGATTGAACCTCGTATTAACACTATACTAATATATTGAGTGTTAGCACCCTAACTCTTCCTAACGAGCAAGCTTGAACTTTATCCATTTCCACCTCCCCATTACCTTTATGCAACAACAAAAAAAAATCCACCATATAAGATAAATTTGTCCTCCCATGATAGAACATTTTCATTCAATTAGATAACAAATCAAATGAAAAACTTCTCATAAAGGGCGGTTGGGTAGTAGACATGATCAATAGATCATAATCTCTTGTTGAAGGAATGACTCGAATTAGTGCCAAAAAATCCATACAAGAAATCAAAATTTTATAACATCTCTTTGTTTGAAACACGAGAGAGAGATTAATTAGCAAAAGGAGATTATGAAACGACTATCACGAGCATTGAGATTAGTGATTTTCTTGGTTTTTTGCTAATAGAGAGATAGTTGTTGGGAGTTGGGAGGGGAAGATGGGTCACCAAACTACATAATTAATTAATTAACATGTTTAGAAAAATAACACATAATTAGTATCCATTTGTCATCTAATTAAATTAGTTGATGTTTTGGTCTCATTTTGTGTAGCCCAACTTCAACAAGGAAACATAAACATAATATGATAATATTATTCCCCCCCCCCCCCCTTGCTTTCAGTCTACAACCACCATACATAAGACTCCACGTGGCTTCACACCGTCTCCTTCACATTACTTGAACAATCACAGCTAATTAATTAATTGTTAATTAAGAAAGATAGTGCTTGTTGGTTACCAGTCTCTTTTCTTTTTTGGGTTCACCTCTTTCTTTTCTTCCTTCTAATCTCCTTTTAATGATGTTCTTAACCAGTTCACAATCCAATCCCAAAAATAATTTTTCGTTATCCCCACAAGCTTCAACTTTTTTCCTAGTTTAGGTGGTTCTTTCTCTCGCCTAGCCTTTCATTAATACCTTAAATCCTGTCTTTGGCGTTTCTTTCTTTCCAGGAAACACACAAAGATTTTGGATTTGTTACTTAGCAGGGTTGGAGTAGGTAGCAATTCTAGAGGGAGTTGGGATTGGTTATTATATGCATAACAATATAATTGAAATGAGTCAGAAGGATTCCTTAACTATTAGGATTAATCGAATGAATCACACTTTTATCACTTAACGATTCCTGCTATTATTTAATTATTATAATATAGAAAAATCTTTTGTTAAGATCTAACTATCCAAATTTTTAAATTAACTTGTCACAAAATTTTCATATTGAGTTGCATATTCAATTACTATATCTAAACTAACAAGGGAGTAATTTCTCGTTTATACAATCCCTGCAAACTCAATAAGCAAATAAACCTCTCTCTCGATGTGCAAACCCACACCACCATAGTCACCACACATCTACAAAAAGCATTACAACAACAATTTGAATGTTGAATGATGAATGTTGAACAACAATTTATTAGATTTGAATGGATTTGTTCTGAGATTGACCCATGTACTATTTTTTTTTTAAAAAAAATTTGATTTAAGAGATAGACCAAGGTACATTTTGTGGGTTCAAATTTGTCCACTTAACTCACAACACCAAGATCTGCCTCTCTGTTTAAGCCCATATCTTATTTTCTTCTCTATTAGCTAGCTATTAAACAAAGCAATCCCCTCCCAACTAAACCAAAACCAACCCTCCATTTCCCCTTCATTAAAACTATATACATTTTTGGTGACGATTTCCTAATTTTTGAATGGAACTTGACTTGTTGCCTAATACTGCTAATCCTACTGGGACTTCTGTAGCAACCTTCTCCTCCTTTGGCCATCTTTCTTTCTTTCTTCCTACCTTCTTCCATTTCCCCGCCGATACTAATAATTATGTTCTTGTTCTCCATCCATCCATTCATTCATTCCCTCCTTTCTTTCTTTTATATTTGCCACATTGCCCACCTTCCAACCATTACTCTGCCCTTTTGCTGTTGCTGAGAGCTCAACAACATGGGAAGATAAAATTCTCTTCCCACCATTGAAGCAAAGCATTAAGCTTTTCACTTTCTTAACATATTCCCTCAATCCCCTTCTTTTTAAACTTTCCCTGCTCTCCTTTCTTTCTCGTTCTCTGTTTCTGGGTTTCTGTGCTTTTTTTCTTCCGAGAAGCATTAAACATTGAGATCTGCTTTCTCTGAAAAGAAAGGGGGGAAAAGAAGAAAAAATGGGAATCTTTCAGGGAAATTGTACCACAAGCGCCTCCAACCAAAAGCAGAGTCCTCACAATAGCGCTTGTTTTCTCTGCTCGACTAGCAATTCCTTTTCTTCTGCTTCTACTACTACTTCTTCTCTGTCATTATCTTCACCTTCCATGCTCGAGGATCATCACTGCAACTGCAACAGTAGTGTCAATGAGATCGAGACCTCAAGGACCCTTCTGACGAGGATGGTGTGGCACTTCGGATTGTCATGTTTTCTCCCCAGCAGCAGCGAGCTTGAGAAGAAGAATGGCGGAGGAGGAGGAGGAGGAGAGAGGAGTATGGTGAATTCGGAGCACAACAAGGCTTGGCTTCTCGCCGAGTCAGGCGGCGGCGCCGAACTAACGAATGCTGAACCCCATTCGGTCCACTCTTCCTTCCGGTTCAGTTTGTGCTCTCAGGTCGAGCTGGAATCCATGAACATCAACTCCTCCGCCGCTTCTTCGGCCACGGTTCTGATGGTGAATCTGGACAGTGGGTTGAACGATTCTCGGGGTAAGGAGCTGGGATGGAGGCGAATGCAGTCGCTGGAGAGGAGTATTTCCCCTGCAGCTAATTCCTTAATTCGGTTCCACTACAGTGAGATTCTCGCCGCCACAAGTAATTTCTCCAAAGGTGAGTGAAATGATGGAAGATCTGAAAAGAATTTGCATGTTGAGGTTTTCTGTTGTTCGGTTTTGGGTCTAATTCTGTTTCGGTTTGGATTTTTTTTTTTGTGAGTTAGATAAAGTTTTGGGAAGAGGAGCCTTGAGCTTTGTTTTCAGGGGAAGGGTTGGGTTTATGAGGACTTGTGTGGCTATCAAGAGGCTGGATAAAGAGGATAAAGAGTCTTCAAAAGCATTCTGTAGAGAGTTGATGATTGCAAGCTCTCTTCACCATCAGAACATCGTGCCTCTTGTGGGTTTCTGTATTGATCCACAGGAAGGCTTGTTCTTGGTCTACAAGTATGTCTCTAGTGGCAGCTTGGATCGCCATTTGCATGGTTAGTATTATTCTGGAACTGTTGATTTTTTTTTTTTTTTTTTGAATAAGTTACAAATTGGTGGGAAATCTTGAGTGTTTTTTATTTAACTTTTACTCCTGAACATCTTCCAGAGAAGAAGAAGAAGAAGAGAGGAGTAAATGGTAATTCAACCCTTGCTTGGTCTGTAAGGTACAAGGTTGCACTTGGAGTTGCAGAAGCAATTGCATATTTGCACAATGGGACTGAGAGATGTGTTGTGCACAGAGATATTAAGCCTTCAAACATACTCCTCTCTTCCAAGAAAATCCCCAAGGTAAACTGGATATCAATTTAGTCCATCAATCATCATGCTTTGGACCATACAAGATTTTTGAATCTGATATGATCAAGTGATGTAGTAGTAAAAGGTGATAAGTTGTTGTTCCTGCTCTTGCACAATGCAGGTGTGTGATTTTGGATTGGCTACCTGGACTTCCTCACCTTGTGTCCCTTTCCTGTGCAAAACTGTCAAGGGAACATTTGGGTAATGATTTGAGATCTCAACAGAAAGAAAGAAACTTGTGTAAAGATTTGCTTTTTTATTTCTTCATTTGCTGATATAGAGAAGACACTGGGTGAAAAATGTGCAGTTACTTGGCTCCAGAGTATTTCCAACATGGCAAGGTGTCGGATAAGACTGATGTATATGCTTTCGGGGTGGTCCTGCTGGAGCTAATTACAGGAAGGAAACCCATTGAAGCTAGCCGCCCTCCGGGAGAGGAGAATTTGGTCTCATGGGTAGGTTATTCTTCCTAACTCCCCTAAATTGTTTATTATAGGTCCACTTCGTTATGGTCCCTCGTCTTGTTTTTGAGACCTACATCTTTGACTTTCCATACAAATGAGGAATCTGAGAAAAGAAAAGGAATTGACTAATGAATATGGTCTAGTGGTAGGATTAAACAAGCTAAGTAGAGCTCTTAGCTTTTGGCTCCCTTATTTGTATATAATCCAAGTTGATCCTGAATAGAGCTACAACAGTTTGCCTTGGGGAATTGCTTATGAAACGGTTAGTGGAAAAAATATGATTCTTTCTTGTTAGAATTAAACTGATACTTGGTATGAAGATGCCCTTTTCTGGATTTGCCATCTGGTGAGAAACTTTGATTAGGAAAACTTCTGGTTAAGGATAACCAAAATCTTCTCCTCAAGAATTAAGAAGTGCCATCTATAAGCCCTGTACTTCAATTTCCTTGTAGTTATAGCTTTATCCATGTTCATTTGTGCAAGCTTGTTAAGGACCAATATTAAATCCAATTTTAGACCTCTCCCCATAGCTTGAGTTTTCGTATATGGTTCTTGATACAGCGAAGAGTCATTTTCGTTCCATTCATTGTACACATAGCATAGTGTCGACGAAACTCTTCCCTCACGTACATGTATCATTTACAGGTGAAACCCCTGCTGGACAAAGGGAAAGGAGCAATCGAAGAGTTGCTCGACCCGCGAATTACTTGTACCTTAAGCAACAGATCACAAATAACCCAGACGATCCATGCAGCTTCTGCCTGTGTGAGCAGCGAGGAATCTCGTAGGCCCCGGATAGACGAGATCTTAGCCATACTGAGAGGAGATGAAGAGCTTGCAGCAGCAGCTACGCTGTTGTCTAGCAGTAGCAGGAAGAGGTCCAACTTGGCAGGAGGCATTGTAGATTGCTACCCACCGCAGCTCCAGCAGACTAACGACAACACCAGTGAGATGAAAAGTCATTTGGCATTGGCAATGCTTGGAGTTTCAGAGCTTGAAGACGACAACCACCTCCACTGTCGGTGATGTACAATCCAACAAGAAAGCGTTCAAGACTTACAGCTGACTCATTTGTTGTTATTCTCTCTTCCATTTTTGATTGCTTCGAATAATAGTTTGGGGTTCTTGGTCTTGTTGTTCGGTTGTGGGGCTATTGATTCTTTTTTGGCTGGTTGCTTTGAGGGAGGGGTACTGACTACTGAGTTGGAGGGAAGGTAACAGTTGAGAAGAAAGAGATTCGATAGCAAAAGTGTAAATAAGATGGAATATAGGCAAGTGCGTGTAAATACTATTCTTCTTGCCTTTTCAGTTTTCACCCTTCTCATTTCCTTTTTTTTTTTTTTTTTGAACATGACTCATTTCCCAAATGGGAGTTGGGAAAAGTGCATTATATTCTTCTTGCCTTTCTTACTGCTTGTGCAAGGGTAACAATGGTTTAATCGTTTTGTATCGCTATAACCTCTCCATCGATTTAAATTTGGGCAGCGGGTTTTCTCGATTGAGCCGTTAGTATGGTATGATTACACAAACACAGATTTTCCTCCAAAATATGAAGATATTTCCTTAAAAGAATTCACTAAATTGAGATGTTAACCAATGACGAAGAAATTTCTCCGAGATCTTTTACGAACAAGATGCGTAACTTAATTTGCAGTGGAACGTACAAAAAATAATAATACTAGGACTTAAAGTCTCTTTTAACACATAATGGACAGTCTAATATGTCAAATGACATACATTAATGAAATATTGGGAAAATTTAATGCAATTTGTAACGGCAAAACGGACTAACTCAATGAACTCAGGTATTTCATGGATGACCTTCTGAGAGTCCCTTTTAACAATGATTCAAACAAATACAACCTAAACCCAAAATCAAAATTTCACCATGAGCTGCAAACCGTTCAACCATCATGTTTGGTGGTGCCCGTATTTTTTAATAGGTGATCTTACGTTGTTTATTCGACATTATTGTTGTATCTGCCAAACATAGGCAACAAAGAACTATCACAAGTCACAAATATAAGGAGACCGGTTAGTCAACCAGCATTCAACAAAGTATCAGCACCAGCCTTAAAATCCTTAATCGAAAATGGAGTTGCACAAAAATATTAGGGTCAACATTCAAACACAAGAAGAACAAAAATGAAGACGGACATGGAAACGGAAGAATATTGAAGTGATGTGACCCCAAAAAGAAAATAAAAAGTTTAGGAAAAGGACAAAAAAATCAAAGGCAATTTAGAAGATCTTGGCGACGTCTTTGATTAGGCCGCGATTGGCCAAGGCGAAGTCGGTGAACTCCTGGTACGAGATGTAGCCGTCGCCGTCGGTGTCGATCTCGTCCATCATCCGCTTCACCTCGTCCGGCGTCACCGACCCCAGCGTCTTCAGGCAATCCCCTAGCTCCGTCGCCGATATCTTCCCGTCGCCGTTCAGGTCGAAGCGCTTGAAGATGCGCTCCCTGTCCGCCTGCTCCTGCGCTTCGTCATCTGCCATCTCTTACTCTAAGCTAATCGATGATTCTTGTTGATTGATTTATTTGTTTCTCTCTCTCTCTCCTTCAATTCTTCATGTTCCAACCAAGAGTTCACTCTGTTTTTCTTTCTTGTCTTCCCTATCTCTTCCAAATCTGATTGATTGGATTTAAAGGAGGAAGAGTTCTGAGGAATTGGTGAGGGGGGAAAGAATGGCGGGAATTGAGGTCAGCCATTGAAGTTGGTTGAGATGAGAAACGATTGCCTCAGAACTCTCTGAAACCAATCCTTTGTTCGCGGATCAACGGGGACACATTCACACCCCCTCCTCCACCGGCCTCGTGCATAATTTTGGTCTCTAAAGCTAGTGGAAATTTTTTTTTGCATCCCCAAAGTTCTCTCTCATATTTGATCACTCCCTCAATTTCATAAAAATTAGAGGTGATAAATGGATTGCATTCATTGAAGGATCAAATGGATTGATAGATTGGTGGACTGATTCATGAATCAAAATGACATTTAAACTTTAGTATGTAATTTTGAAAAGTTTAAGTACTAAAATGTTTTAATTAAAATTTTTAGATGCTTAAACGTAATTTTTCAATGATATTTTTTTGCCTAAATATTAAATTTTAGATACCAAAATATAAAATATAAAAGTATAGGTACTAAATTGTAATTTACCAAATGTCAATGAATCGATCAAATGAATTGGATGTAAATGAATTAGATTCATGGATTAGGATACTAATTGCCACATCTCAAAAGATATGATCTAATCACCACTCCATCGAGCCAACATAGAATTTGTTTCCCTCAAAGTACACTAGTACTTAAAACGATTCGCACGGATCGCTGAACTGATAAGAAAGGTAACAGTTGATCGCTTGACAACTCAGCGATCCGCGTGCATCGCTACGGAGGAAAACGATTCTCCCGGAAACGAGATACGGATCGCTGATGTGGCAGACGTGGAGGCACGAATTTTTGAGGTGGCACACAGGGAAGTGTTGATCCCTTGAGACCTCGACGATCCATGTGCTCCCATCCACAAGTATAAAAATCCCCCATTCCCTTATTCTTCACACTACCACAACAATTCCTTTCTTCAACCACTCAAGAAATTCTAAGTATGCTCTGTGGTTGTAGTTAAGCCCGAACTTGCATATCATAATTTTTTTTCTTAGTTCGATATACAACATTTCCCTCTAAAAAAAATCTTTTTGAACCTTTGTCTATAAATTGGACGAAGAGACTCTTAGGGTACCTACTAATTTTTTCCCCTAATATGCTTTATTGTTATGTATAGTATAATTCTTTTAATTTGATTATACAATGACTTTTAAACAAGAATCATGCATGCGATGCTATAAGATCAACAATATCTTAGTAGTTTAACAATATGTTTTCCGGCGAGAAAACTTGCGTGTTGAATTGAGATGGATTGCACCTTTGACTTCTATGGACAACGATTTCTAAGACACGGCTCAAACCTCTTCAAACAAAGTTCGAACGAGGGTGTTTGATTGATGGTTTTTGGGAACGAGATCTAAATTAAATTACTCCTACTCCTATGGAGGTTCGGCGAGAGCTCCAAACTACGAACTACATCTATGGCTACATGATAGAGAAAAGGTAAAGGATAAACTTGACATGTGTGTCAGAGTGTTGGTTTTGGAACCCCTTGTCTCTGTCGACCCCTCCTCTTATTTATAGCCACGAGGAGGTAACCGCCATAGAAAACTGCTTGTTGGATAACTGCTACAAAGAACTGCTCCTCCTTCTCCGGTAGAAAACCACCTCTTGGATAACTCCCAAAAAGAACCGCTCCCTGCTTCCTCGGAGTGGTGGTTACTCCTTCAACCGCCTAGGTGCCTCTCTTGGAACCGTCGTGGGTTTTGGAGTGTAGCTTGCCTCGCCTGGTCTTGTTCTGAATCTCGTGCCATGCTAGTCTTTTGACGAGCATGTATTGTCTCGCAAAGGGGGTTGTGGTCTTCTTGCCTCGCGGCCATGGACTTCTTACTCATGTCCATGGCCTTCTTGTCTTACGGCCATGAACTTCTTACTCATGTCCATGGCCTTCTTGTCTTACGGCCATGAACTTCTTACTCATGTCCATGGCCTTCTTGTCTAACGGCCATGGACTTCTTACTCATGTCCATGGCCTTCTCGTGAGGCGGCATGGCCTTCTCAGACTTAGTATATTTTGGATCATGAGGCGACATGGCCTCCTCATTCGCGGCCATGGACTTCTCAGTCATGTCTGTGGCCCTTCTCGTGACACAACATGGCCCTCTCATACTTGCTATCTTTTCTTGCGTCCATGCCCCTTCTCGTGAAGTGGCATGGACGTCTCATCTTGTCTCGCGTCCATGCCCCTTCTCGTGAGGCGGCACGTGCTTCTCCTTGAAGTGGCATGTACCTCTTCCAGACTTAGTTTATTTTTTAGTCATTAGGCCTTGGTCATGGGGCGGCATGGCCTCTTCATTCATGGCCATGGACTTCTCATACTTAGAAATTTTCATGCCATCTCGTGGCATGGCATGGCCTCTTACGAGAGGCCCATGTCCCTTATTGAATCATGTCCATGCTCATTAATGAGCTAGTGACTTGGGTTTAAAATCAATATCCATAAGGCCCAATTTAAACAACATTAATTGTTATAATGGGTGTGGCCTTATAAACTCCTTGATTATCTTGTAACTCACCAATGTGGTACAAGACAAAATTTATGGTGTAAACAAATGCCCCCCAACTACTTAGTGCATAAGGATTATGGACTAAGTAGTTGATACCACCTTGACCACTTATATCCCTTCTCTAACTGGTCCTCGAGTAACAAGGCTTGTCTCTACTCACCCATGACCACAGGTTCAATAAAACTTGAAATTTTTTCCTCTAAAACAACACCATGGTACCTACGTTTTTCAAGTGGCTAGCTATACCGCCTATGTTGTTTTCATTCATGTGTAGCCACGAGAAACCCTTACCTTGTTGGCTTCTCGTCAACAATTCAGTGAGGCCCCTACACTTTTCTTATTTTACATGTTCAAGCGGGCCATCACTCATCTCCAACCCACGATGCCCTTAGGTCGTGGCCAACATCCAAACTGGTGGCAACTTGGGACAAGACGACATAGCATGGCAAGACGCAGTCTACGACTCGGTATGCCAAGCCATCACTACGACTTGGTGGTAAGATCTTCACATTAAAGTCTAATAACTTCGACTCAAAATTTCCACTTTGTTATTTTCTCTCTATTTTTTCTTATATAGCCATGATTGGCTTTTATTTATTTATTAATATATATGATATTTATTTATTTAAGATAACAAGGAGTGACAAACGTCACTGCTCTCCATCGCCTCTGGCAACAACTAATGCGCCAAAGGTGTACACCCACTGCCAAGTCCATGGATTGAAGCAGGCAAGCCATCCATAGACCACATGACTCTTTTTCTCTATGGGAGATGACTTTCCATACATTAATTTTGAATTTTCTAGCTTACTAGTGGGTGGTATATGATCAGCATGTCTAGCCTTGGTGGCCTTGCATGGGGTCTCATGCTCATATGCTTTAGCCACATCACTTGACATGTTAAGACGACCATGGGTTTTCCTCTGCCTTGGTTTCCTCATGGTTGAGACATGCTTACTCTCCTCATGTTGTTGGAGACGATGTCCAATCTTGACAAGTTGGCGACCACCCATGTGGTCCCCTTGACTTTGTCTTTCAACCTCCAAACCTTGTTGGCTCCTACCCTTAGCACACGACCATCCTTGGTTCTTTGTGAGGCCATGTCTGGTTTGTGCGTATGATACCTTCTTATGCATGCCCCTATGTCCATCATTCATGATTGATGGCATGTACTTACTACTCATGGACATGGACTTGCCCCCCTGTCCACACTTAGCCAAACTTGCATACTTAT